CAACATTTGGTATGCAGCAAGACCTATATACATATTTGATTAATGAACAAACAAATAAAACAGATGAATTTAACTAACAAATAAATACATAAACAAGGAAAAATACCTTTAAGATATTGCTTGTGTACCTTGGAGACAATTATTAGGCTTGATTAATGGTTGTAGAACTTAACACCACCCCCAAATTAACATGGAATGAAAAAATTATTTAGGGAGGTTTTAATCTAGAGAAAGCAGCAAAGCAAAGTAATTTGGTATTAATGTATTAACACTGGGCAACTTTAGTATTCTGATAGGAAAGTAGTAATTGAAACTGTAATAAATCTGAGTTTCTCAGGGCAGTTGGCTCATTAGCAATAGGATATTATCAGTTTTGCAAACATTTTCCACTTGGATATGACCTATTCATTAAATATCTATATATATATATATATTCATTAAATGTGTTTGTGTGTGTGTCTTAGAGTATCAGGAAACCAGATGTAAGTTATTATTTCTGAGTTGTCCAGATTCTTCTATGGTATTAGCTTTCAAATAAGGTACTCGTAATCTAATGATTCCTGATATCATCTAGACAAAAACTGAAGTGAAATGATTTTTCCTAAGAAAAGGCTTGTAATTACACAGCAAAAGGTGAGAACAGAGCCGATTTACTAATTTATAGAATTTATACTTTCCTTGGTTCACAAAATGAATCACATGGGTTATACTCAAGAATACTATAAACACTCAAAATAATAAATGTTTGTTCTGATATCACAATGAAATATTAAAACTTTCACAGGAGTAGAGCAATATTAAATTAATCTACTTCAATGAGACTTCTGATGAAAATCAAAATATGGTATTTCAACATAAGATTTCTGGTTAAACTAGCACAAAGCATGGAGAAGGTAGAAACGGTAGATCAACTAGGGCCTTATTAAATCACAAGATATTTGTAGGAAGGAGAAAAGGCTATAATTATGATCACATAGATACAATTCCTGGCTTATGTTGACTAAAATTATTAGAGGGCAGTAATTTCATGGCATTAAATGTGAACACACTCATACATATGTGTAATTTAAATTTTTGAAAAATATCTGGAATAAAAGTCAACAGGGAAAGATAATTTTGATTTGAGGGACAGGGAGAGTTTTCTAGAGGAGTCATATACTTGACCTGAATTGGCTGAGATTGGGGGAGAGACTTATTTCTAGGAAGACGTATTTCTAGGAAGGTCTGGGTTATGAGGCATTTAGCTTCTTTCCCAGAACAGAAAGAACATTCTTGTGTGAGCACAGTGAGGAAAAAGGCAGATAACACAGTCCAAAAAGTAGGCAGCACCCTAAGTGTGCAGACTCTTGAAAGCTGTGATGGGCAGATGGCCCACCCAAACCAGGCCTGTGTAATTGCCTTAATGTTGAATGTGAAGTTAGATATAATTATGTCCTCAGCATTACAAACACCCCTTAAATCATCTTAAATAGGTTTAGTGTTGAGAATCATGATTCTAAAACAGACTCTATGATACGTCATTTGAAGAAACCATCTTCAAAGCTGGTATCTGGAGTCATCTTGAAGCCTATGTGCCAAACCTGTTGTTATGAGTAAATTTGCAGAGCTGAGCCCAGGAAAGAGAGCAACTACATCTATTGAGCACCCATAACACTGGCTGCATGGAACACCTGGTCTCACTTACTCTTCATATTATTTTCCCCCATTTTATAGAGAATGCTGAATCATAGGCAAGGTAGTGAAAGGAAGAGGCAGAATTCAAATTTGAATCTTTAAAGTTTGTGAAATTGCTGCTAGGACATATGATTTTTTAATAATCAAAGCTCAAAGAACCTGTGTGATACTGGACCTCCTGAGATAAAAGTCCTTATAGGTGCTAGTAGCCTCCACTCCTTTCATTGGTTCAGTCGGTCCTTTAGTTGTAAATTCAGACCTTTAAACATTCACCTAATAAACATGAACTGCAAGTTTAGTAAAACACTGCGATATTCTGGGGAAAAAGAGATAAAGAAGTAGAGAAAGGGAAGAGATATAAAGAAACATAAAACCCAGGGTCTGCCATCATGGAACTTGCGTGAGGGCAGCTTATGTACACACACTTATAAACTAATACAATATGTGTCAGGTCACTAGAGCAATGCAGGTTAAGAGGAATTCCTGCCATGCTCTGAAATGCAAGTGGGATGTGCACCTGGAGTCATGGGCAAAAGATATTCCAAAAAACGCCTCCATAAAGTGGGGAGATATTGGCTCTAAAGCCATTTCAGACCCTTCTCACATTAGCCACACGAGAGGAATATAGAGAGTTTGCTTCTGAACAGGGACCCATAGGGAGTTCAAGAACATGATGGACTGAGTGAAATATAATTAATTTTTGGAGTCTCAGGATGATTTCTTCTTCCTACCTCAAATAAATGTAATAATGAGGGATTGAAGTAAGATGATTTTATATATATTTTTGAAATGCTAGAGCTCATACCAAACCCTCTACCAATGAGCCACAACCCTAACATGCATTTCTGTTTTATTTCAAATACACAGCCCAGTTGGCAGGACTGAGTTGCTCAGCTTGATAGGATGCCATGGGGGAAGAGGAAAAGGAAATGGAGATAAAACAAGACAATGGAGGCTTTGAATATCAGAGTACAGAGTTTAGATTTTCTATACTAGATAGCACAAAATTTTTAGCCTTGTGCTGTGTGTTTGCATGCCAATTTCTTAAAAATAAATACATTGAAATGGGAGTGTATTTTTTCCAATTATAGAAATAAATCTTATGAATTGAAGATATTTATGTTCATTGTTTTATTTCTAGTTTCTTTCAATAGCCAATATATATTTGGTCTATTGTTTCTCCAGATTATTATTGTAACACCACTGTTAGGGGAGTTAATTTCAAAGTTAATCCTGAGAGTCAGCAAAATTTCTGTCCAGCCAACATTTGATGTGTCCAAACAAAAATTTACATATTCTAACTGTCTCTCTGACTATAATTTACTTCCTTCTCAATTTCACACAGGAAATATTCTCTGCTTGTGTTTCCTTTGACAAGTAAGGTCAAAGAGTTAATTGTTCCTTTTTTAAAAAAAGAGCTTGCTCAACATGGGCTTTTGATATTTCCCTATAGCCCAGTCATCTTAGAAGTCAGATTTTAATAATATCTTGACCCATAATCCCTTTGTTTCAAAATTGGCAAGAAATCAAAACTAGGGGAGTATCTATATTAAATATTGATTTTTAAAGACTTTATTTCTTCTTGCCTGTTCTCCCTTTCTCTCAAAAGCTGAAATAAGGCATTAATGAAAGAGTTAATAATTTTTGAAAATCTACTCTAATGCTTCCTTTTTCATTTAGCTTTCTTTAGCTTTCTCTCCTGATTATAATATAGTTTTAGTAGCATTTCACTTCAAAAGTATTAGTGTGGCTGGGCATTTGACAGAATCCTGTAATCCCAGCACTCTGGGAGACTGAGGCAAGAGGAGCACGAGTTTGAGCCCAGCCTGATTTAGACAGACCCCTTCTAAAACAAACAAGCAGACAACTGAAGATGAAGCTCATTGAAAAAATACTGGGTTCAATCTGCAGTACTACACACACACACACAGACACACACACACTACAATCAAGTCCTAAAAGCATTTTAATAAAATGTATCTACTTACAATATTAACTTTGGGATACTCTATCAAGCAAGAGCCCAATTTAAAATAAAATGGAAATTGAATAAGACCAGAAAGTGTATTATTTTTATCTTATTTCAAATTCTAAGAATACGTTTTAATTTGCACAATGTCTCTTGATAATATCTTCTACCTTTTATTGAATGCTGTCCTCTGCCAAGTACTGTTTTGCAAAAAGTGTGATAAAAATCCCTATGAGAACAATGGGACTGAATGGTGCCCCCCTACAGATGAGATAGGATTTGGATATTAATTTGTTAATTAACACTAAATGAAGTAATAATTGTAGGCTTCTAAACCAATAAAATTGGAAGAAGAAGAGGAGGAGGAGGAGGAAGGAGGAAAAGTGGGAGGGGTGGGAGAAGGGGAGAAGGGAGAGGAAGAAGAGAAAGGAGAAGAAGAGGAAGGAGGGAAAAGTTTCCCCACACAGGAGGACAAATGGAGAAGGGCCAATCAGCAAGCAAATGAAGAGGACTCACCATAACTACACAACACCACCATCCTGATCTTAAACCCCCTCCAGAAGTACAATAACAATCAGTTTTCCCTTTTAAACCATGTAGACTATGGTACTTTGCATGGCAGCCCAGGTTGACTGAGATGGTGACTATACCCATTTACACTTAGGAAACAAATTAAGAGGTCAACATTAGAATGGTATTTGAACCCCTGGGTGTCTGCCCTCCAAAAGCCTGCTCTTAAGAGTCCCCTGTGAACTTTGATCCAAAAAAATAATGAATAGATAGACATACTTTCAAAAACTCCAAAACCCTTCAGCCACCTTTTTTAATTTTAATTTTTTTAGATTTTGCAAACCAACACAAAGCCTGTGAGTTTTTCTTATATATCATCCTTATCATCTGATACTTTTGTGTTCTAGCAGGATATTATTATTTAAGCTCTCTCAATTTCAGGTTAATGCAGAAAAATGTAGCCATTTTTTCTGAAATTGCAATGTTGCAAAATCAGATATTTACTATTGCTGTATTTGCATTTTGTAAAACATATTAAATACAAAATATCCAGTGTTGTGCCTCTAACTAATTGGCAGTGTCCCATTAAACCATATTAAAATTAACATCTATTAATTGGATTAGAGATTCAGTGAGAATGACAGTTGCTAGTGCCTTTTACAGTTACTATGTTTCTCTATAATCCATATGGCAAAACTTACATAATGCTTTCTTCCCCACGGAAATAAACAGTTAAGATAAAAAGGATTGATTTGATGTGATCATGGTGTGTGCATTTGTCTTCTTCCTTTTCTTTTGTTCTTCAATTTTTTTAAGAGCCGAATTATCTTTTTTCCCCTTTTCACAGGTTTTCACCAGCCATATTTTTATATCTGATCAGCATTGTTCCATCACTGTGGCTCCTTGAAATGCATCGGAAGACCCAGGTACTTCCTTTTAGAAAATAGGAAATTGGATTCAGCTATAAACTACTTTCACACTATGATTTGACTTATTTCAGAAATGCATTTTTCTAAAGGGCTGGAATTATCAAGAATTGAATAAATAAAAGGCCATTGGCAAGAAGAAATGACTCCAAGATCTGTCAAAGAAGTAAAATTATTCAGTTTGTTTCAGACTCAGGATAACCTAGTTAATTAATAGATTGTGTTAGTCATTTTGTTTCTAAGACTTCCTCCCTCACCTGAAATATATTTAATGTTTTCATCGGAATGTGGAAATTTGATTTTAACCCTTGCATCTTCAGTGAGTTCCTCTGTTGTACTAAGAATGAGCAGACCTCAATAATCGGAAATACTGTAAAATGACATTTTTAGAAACTATAAATTTTTTTAAAAGACTTCATCTGTGCTATGTAAATACATTAAAAGTCAAAGTGACTTTAAAATACAAGTTACACAGTTTATTAAAGAATCATTTTGGGGAGTCTCATGGACTCATAGTTAATGGGTGATGCTACTGCAAAGCCCAAAAATGAAAGTTAAAGGAGAGAAGTTGGAAAAAGGAGGGCTTATATGTATTAGCCCACATCAGCTTAGAAAATAAATAAGTGTCTATATTTTTTATGTAGAGACTGTAATTGAGTTTCCTCCTACATAGACAATGCTAGTTAGTAGCCTGTAGACTGAGTTCCCCTTTCCTGCTAATCCTGCCCCTGTACGACTCCAGGAGGCCAGTCAGCAAAGTCATTGCACCCCAGCGTGGGCTTCAAGGTTTAAACTGTAGGATGGCATTACAGATAACTGTATTATATAATATTTGTTGCCATCATTGATAAAATATTTAGGCAAAATCTGTGGGAATTTGTTCCTATACAATTTTTTTGCTATGTTTAGTCATTTTATAGAAAATATAAGCCTTCAATATATTGCTTATGCTTGCCCCAAATTTTAGGTATAGAGAAGAAAAAATATTTTCTCAAGTCTCCTTCTGAAAAACATTAAAGTCATACGCTATTTCTACATCTGTATGAAAAGTATTTCCATAAGTGAAGATTGATTTGTTTAAGCTACCATGACTTTTAAAGAAAGTAAAATGAAGAATTAGAGGACTGCTTCTACCTCCGAACTCTTACTACTTAGTGGGGTATGAAAATTAGCTCCTTGCAAGTGCAAGGACCGGAGTTCAATCCCCGGTACCAAAAAAAAAAAAAAAAAAAAAAAAAAAAAAA